CCTCCTCCCAGTGCCGCTCTGCTCCACAGAAAAGCCAGCCCAGGCGTGCTGCGGCAGCAGTAAACAGACCGATTTTAATGCACATATCACCCAACATCACCACAGGAGGGACTTGTCCCTTCCCTTGCAACCCTCTCAGGCCATCAGCTGTGAAACGCAGCCACCCCTGGCCCTCCAGCTGCCTGTGCAGAAGCCGGCTTGGGCTGCTTTTCCATCAGCCGTGCCCCTGGCTTTGGTGGCATCCCTGCGGCTCGGAGAGGCTGTCAGGCTGGTCCAGCAGGGAAGTGCTTTTAGGCAGCAGAGCGGGTGAAGGCAGGGCCTGGGGCCAGGGAGCGAGCCCTAAGGCACATCAGAGCAGGTTTGGAGAGGCCAAGACCTCTAGGAGCCAGAGCCCCGTTTTGCCTCAGCACACATATCTCAGTCTATCAGAAACTTCTCACCATCCACGTCTCTCCTTGCAGAGCCCTTGCGCAGGGAGGGGAAAAAATCGGAGCGGAGGAGGCGGGAGAAGTACATGAGGATCATGGCGTCGAGCAGCAGGAGGTTGGCGGTGAGGAAGGCTCCCTGGCCCTGCACCTCCACGTAGCGGAGGAAGTACCAGGTGAGGTAAGCCTGGGGCGCCAGGCGGAAGGCGAAATACATCACCAGGTTGATGTACTTGTTGGCCTCGTAGAGCACCGGGGAAGGCACGTTGCTCATCTTTAGCAGCATGCGGATGGTGAGGAAGATGTTGCTCACCTCCACCAGCAGCAGCAGAATCGCTGCCACCAGGAAACGGCCCGTGATGATGAGTGAGACAAAGGCAGAGATGGCCTGGGAGTGGGGGGAGACACACAGCAGGGTCAGCTCTCCTCGCCCTGGGGTAACTGAGTCCTTCCCCACCAAAGTTTGAGCATATGCAGTGCTGCTCTTCCCCCCCAGCAGCCCCTCAGGCACCTGGGACAAGGGAAAACCAGTCTGGAGAGCCAGTTCCCCTGGGACCAGTTACACCTCCCTGTGTGGGGAGCTGGGACCAGCCTCTGGCCCTTCCCTCTCCCAGCGTGGCAGCCTCTCTGGCTGCCGGCGCTCAGAGCCAGTGCTGGCAGCCATCCTGCCCCACCAGGTGCCCTTCCCTCGATGTGCAGCCTACCTGGCAGCCAGGGCGAGGCAGAGGGAAGGGCTCCAGCTTGCCCTGCTGTAGCACATGAAACCCATGTGGGCTTGAGCCCTGGGGTGCGTGGTAAACCG